ACACGCGATGGACTACCAAGGGGTGTTAACTCAAATATGTTATTGTAATCTTGAAGAGTATCTTTTGATTTGTTCAAAGGCCTTAGAAAATTTCTGGCATACATTGCAAATCTCGAAATAGCGAAGCATCACATGAAGTTTAATTGACTGCTGATATGCAGTCATCCAAAAAATTACAAGCGTACCTGGGAAAATCGCATTTTGAAAGCCTCGATATTCAGTTTTAATAAAATTTAAATAAACAATTTAATATTAAGCATTTTATAAAGTTAATCATGATAGTTATATAAACAGACTCCCAGATTTTGACAATAATTTTGGAAAAAAAACATTTAAAGACTTGGCTTGATAAGAGCTTTCGGACACCGGCCGGACATACATTTCATCTCAACACTCGGGGACGAATAATGTATCTAAAATCGTAGTATTGTCCGGCTTATAAGCATATAAAAGCCAATACGTGTGACAATCTAACCAAAAATATAAAAGTTTTTATTTTTAAAATACATAAAAGCTTTGTTAATTTATAAGCTTGTTAATTTACAAGGTTGCGTTAAACGTTCGGATGACAATATTTTTTGGAAGTCAAGCAATGCTTAGACTAATTAATGTAGTGCTATGCTAAAAAGATTTTTTAACGTTTTAAATTATGCAAAGCTGGCAGAAAGGCTTTTGTCTATAAATCCGTGCCTTAGTGACGAGTGATTGTTGTTTGATATGACTTTTTAAAAATATTAATTTTCTTATTATTTCATTTTTATTATATCTCAAAATTTGTTGAAGTTTGAAAACGTTGCATGATACGTGGTGTGCATTATTTTTGGATGCTGAATTTTATTATGCAAATGGCTCAATCGAATAGAATTAAATCTAAATGTATGAGACTAATATTTACAGTGAGTTACTATACCCAGCTATACTCTCATGAAGAGTGACCAAGTCACTTCCCTTCTTACGTCGATAAAAGGTGGTGCTATATCTAATATTTTTGAGTTTATGACATTTTTAGTAATGGGCCTATTGCCAAAATCTGGGGTAATCTGATTATATAACTTTTATGAATAACTTTTTAAAATGTTTAATATTAAATTGTTTATTAAAATTTTTTTAAAACTGAGTATCGAGAGAGATGATTTGTGGCAAAGGAGAGATGATTTGTGGCAATACAATTTTTTGGATGATTGCATATCAGCAGTCAAAAAAACTTCTTGTGATTTTTCAATGTTTCGAGATATGCAGAGTATCTCAGAGATTTTCTAAGGTCTATAAGCAAATCAAAGGATACTACTCTTCATGATTGAAATAAAATATTTGAGTCGTTATATTATAGCTTATCCCAACAATATCACAATAAAGCAGGGTTTCGATATCTGAGGATTTTTCCTCATTTTGTGGTTTTTTGATAGGGCGATGAGGATTATTTTTTAAAATGCGGATTTGCGGATTTTTGTGGTCTTTTGTAAATTATGATGATTTTTTATATTTTCTTGTGGTTTTTAGCATAAAATGCATTATTTTTCTGCTAAGACCTTCCAAAATTAAAAAAATTTTCGCCTGCGGCGCTAAAAATGGAAGAAATAAAAATTTACGACATTTTCCGCGACAAAAATACAAGTGTAATTTTTCAGATAATTGTCGGATTTTTATAAGATGATCATTAGTAATATAAAATTGCTTAATTCAATTGTAGAAGACGAAAAATCTAATGCATAAAGTGATTTTAATTCGATTTTTGTGTTTGATAATTTTTTGCGGATTTTTGATATAAAATGTGGATTTTTTCGATCAAAATTGCGGATTTTTAAAAATTCGAGATCGAAACCCTGCAATAAAGCAATGTAATGTTTCAAATAAGGTTGGCGGATAGTTGGAAATCTTCGGATATCCGGATCCGGATCCGGTATCCGATCCGAAAATTTCGGATATCCGGATCCGGATCCGGTATCCGAACCGAAAATTTCGGATATCCGGATCCGGAACCGATATCCGAACCGAAATTTTCGGATATCCGGATCCGGAACCGAAATTTTTATTTTAAAAATTTTCGCCTGCAGCGCTGAAAAGTTGAGTCTTATGGAAAATTTAAAGGGATTAGGAGCAATTATGATTGGATTTGGGGATTAACAGTGTTATCGAAGGAATTTATGCTTAACAGTGTTATCTAGGTGTAATCAATGTGTGGAAAATTTTGTAGTTTATCTGATGATTTGTTAGAATTTAGTGGATTTGGGGGAAGTAGATACTTCGGCTATTTCCATATTTTTGAATTTGGTAAATTGATATTTGGGATCGTGGGATTAAGAGAATACTGAGAGATTTAGAGGTAAATCCTCCGTTATCATACAAACCCCTTTTCTTCCTTTTTAAGCGCCGCAGGCGAAAATTTTGAAACTTGGAGGTCCTTAAGTCAGATTTCTTCCACTGACAGCGCCGCAGGCGAAAATTTTGTAAATTTTGAAAGCCTGGGCTACCAGTTTGTTCATTTTTCAGCGCCGCAGGCGAAAATTTTGAGAAATTTGGAAGGCCATTGGGCAAGATTACTTCCTTTTTCCCTAATTCTAGGATCCGATCCGAAAATTTCGGATATCCGGATCCGATATCCGATCCGAAAATTTCGGATATCCGGATCCGGATCCGGTATCCGAACCGAAAATTTCCGGATATCCGGCCTTTTTTCGGATCCGGATATCCGGATCCGCCAACCTTAGTTTCAAAGGTATCTAATAATTAAAATTATAATTTATAAGAAATTTTGCGATTATTGGCCTCTCTCGAAGACTGGCCACGTCGCTTCCCTTATTACGTTGATAAAAGGAGTCAATATATCTATCTAATTTTTGAGTTTAGATATTTTTAGTAATCTAGCTATTGTCAGAATCTGGGATAGTCTGTTTATAAAATTATCATTAATAACTTTACAAAATGTTTAATATTAAATTTTTTATTTAAATTATATTAAAACTGAGTATGTATCGAGAGAAATGATTTGTGGATGCGGACCTCATATGTAATTTTTTGGATGACTTCAAATCAGCAGTCAATTAAACTTTTTGTGATTTTTCCTTATTTCTAGATTTGCAAAATATGCCACAGATTTTTTAAGGCCTGTGAGCAAATCAAAGGATACTCTTCAAGATTACAATAAAATACTTTGAGTGAAAATCATTTGGTAACTCAACAGATGTGACTTCTCTGTACATTAGTGATGCTCGGGAGAAGAAAAAACCCGGGAAACGGGAGTCGGGTAGGGAAATGACCTCGGGAGTCGGGATCGGGAGTCGGGAATTAGCAATAAAAAAATTTTCCAAAAATTTCAAAAATTTTTGGCGCCTTAGGCGCCAAAAATTCCGATTTTTTACACCATAGGCAAAAATATTGAAAATTTTGGAAGGTAAAGATGCCTTAATTGCGCCGCAGCCAAAAATTTTGACTCTCATTGGAGTGAAATAGAAAGGGGTCTTGAACGATCTTTAAGGGTAACTTAAGAGTTTATTTCCCCGATTATTTGGAAAAATAAACCAACAGCCTGTCCAAAAAACCTTGTAACCGCAGAGATAATCAGTGTTGGGTATTGCTGGGGGCTTTTTCTTTGAGCCAGAGCCCAGCTTTGATTTATAGTTGTTGTCATTGACCTTAAGTCCTTAGAATCTCTCCATTGGGGTGAAATAGAGGAAAAGTGAAACAGAGAAAAATATTTTTACGTTCAATTTTGGTGGAATTTTGGTGAACTAGCCACATATCTCTTTATATCCCCTCAATAGTATTAACACCCCCTATGCAAAATTAATCATCCATATATATCTCTCTTTATTACTGCAAATCCCTCGTTATCTCTTTAAATTCACCATAATCCTAGTAAATCACCGAAATCTTCTATACTAAAACTCCACAGATTCTTCAATTTTCAGCGCCGCAGGCAAAAATTTTGAGGATTTTGGAAGATCCTTAAGACAAAAATCTTCGTTTTCAGCGCCGCAGGCGAAAATTTTGGGAATTTTAGAAGATCAAGAGGCCAGATTTCTTCATTTTTTCTAAATGAAAATATAATTTTGTCAGAAAAATCCATTCTTAGGGGTGTAAAAATTTCCCGACTTAGTCGGGAATTGACACCGGGAGTCGGGATCGGGAGGCCAAAAACTCGGGAAATTTTCCCGAGTCGGGAGTCGGATACCCGAGCATCACTAATCTACATACGCCCTTTTAATAAAAATCCAAACCGTTCTTGTATCCTCAAACAGCACTTGATCATATTCACTTAATGCAACTACGAAAATTATAGCATGAACGTCCTAAATAATTTTAAAGATTTGGAGACATTAATCCCAATTTTACATCAAAACAATGAATCCATTTTTTCCTTTCACTTCTTTGCCCATCAACATCAAAAACACGAAAATTGACATTTTTGATTTCGAATTTTACCTAAAAATTGAAAAAATATTAATTTTGATCATTTATTAAAATTGCAAACTTTTTCATTTATGCCTGATTTTCAAACAAAAAAAACTTTTTAATTACATACATGTATCATTAAGTATAGCGTGCTCGAAACATTTAAAATTTGGTCAAATTTGAATGACTAATTAGTAGATCTAAGGATTCTACTCCTAGAAAAAATTGACGTGATATTTTAAAAGTATACATCAATTGAAATAATTATTTGTATAAAGAACCTAAGTTCAATCTGAGAACGAGTTTCGCTAACATTGTATATTTGGTTTAATTTGTTGGATGCCTAACAGAGCTTAGGCAATAAAAAACCTCGACCTCGAACAACTCTAGTTCGATGCGGCTCCACGAGCTGAATCAAACAATATCAGGGCACCCCGGATTCGACAATTTTGAGCGAACTTACAGCTGTGCGGTATATTTGGGTGACTCATTCATTTCTACAGAAAATAACATTGAAAAGAAGGAGAGACAAAATTTCCTCTTTTCTTGTTATCCTTCTTTTGGAAGAGCGAATTTATGTGAACTGGCATAAATATTAATTAATTAAATTTTTGTTTTGATAAATACTGAAATATTTTTTATGTTTGATCTTTTCGTTAACAGCATCTTTGTAATTTTTTGGAAACCTGAACAATGTTCATGGCTAATTAATCAAAAAATCATCCTATCATTTTTCAGGCGCTTCTCGACTTTGGGCGTGAACCTCCAGCTTTCTGTAATCCAAACTTCTTTTACACTTTTTTACACAATATTTAAATCTATTAATTCGGTTTTATTAATTCTTAATTTTAACAGTCAAACAGACACTTATATAAATATGATCGATTTATTTTTTGGATGCTGAAATTATTCAGCAAATATGTAGAGCTAGAGTTAGGCCGAAGTTCAGCTCCGTGCAGTAATCAAACATGAGAACATTAGTCATCCAGACTTTTAGTCCCGGCTGTCAGTTTCCGACATTTGACGCCTCTCGAATCATTTCTAGACTGATGCAAAACCGAAAATTAAAGAATCTTAAATTTTCTAAAAATTCGTCCTCAGTTATTGTCCGGAATAGTCTACGAAACACGAAACGAAAAATTTTCTCCAAGCTTTTCTGTGCATATTTCATGAATTTAGCTCAAATTCTAGTGGATTGAGTTATTAGCTGAATAAAGTTCAGCTTTCAATAAATAAATCATGAAGCTGCACACACAGTCAAAATTCGACAAATTTCGAAATTTAATAAAAATGAAATAATAAAAAAATTAATATTTTTAAAAAGTCATATTAAACAGCAATCACTCATCACTGAGGCACGGATAGAGAATGGGAGAAATGTAGCTACTCGGCCTTCCAAGGTTCTCGAAATTTTACCTGCCGCACAAGATGAGGAAGATTTTTGGCTTCGTGTGCACAGCAACTTACTTGCAACCAAGAGTCATTTCAGTGTAATCTCAACTTTTTTCTTCTTCGGTGAAGATAGAAAGTTACTTTATTATTACTCGATATCTCTAGAAGAGTGACCAAGTCACTTCCCTTCTTACGTCGATAAAAAGGCGGCGCTATATCATACCAATTTTTGTGTTTATGATAATTTTAGTAATGGACCTATTATCAAAATCTGGGATAATCTGCCAATATCACAATCATGGATAACATGATAAATGTTTGGCAGAAATCTAGCTACTCTATTACTCTATTTGTCGCAAAAACAAATAAAATTAAAATTAAATGCAATTTAAATGTTTTTGCTGGACAATGTTAAAAATAAATAAATTTCCCTAGTTTCTTTAAATTTATTTATTTAAGTTTTCTTTTGTTTATTCCAATGAATAAACACTATTTTCTATTTTTATTCTTTTTACTCTTTTCTATTCAAATCAAAATCAATTTCTTTAAAATCAATTTTATTTCAACAATTAAAATATTACAATATTTTAAAAGAATCAGGAAGTTAAAACTTAACTTAACTCCTATTTAAAAAGCTTCACAAATAATTGCTTTATTTAAATCTCTTTATACAATCTAAACTTTATAAACTAAATTCTAGAAATCTCTAGAAAACTCAAATTTAATTCAAATTGAAATACAAAGAATTCTTAGTCAAATAACTCTAAACTTAGAAAACTCAAATCAAACACTTTAAGCTCTAAGTTCAGTTCTTTATTTTAAACAAATCAAAAAACTAAAAGTTACACAACTTTTATTCAAACAAAATCTAATACAATTAGAAAAGCTCGAGAGAATCTTTACACAAAGATAACTCTTAATCTGAGAGAATCTAGAAAAACTCTTATCTGAGAATTTACAAATTAAACTCTGAATATACCCTAAAATCCTAACGTTTAAATAGAGGAAAAAGTGGGAGGGTTAAACATAAAAATAGCAAAAAAATATACAAAGTGCAATGAATAATGGGAAGAATTTGAAAGATGTAGGCGTATTCGATTACGCATGATTAAAAATAGAATTTTAAAAATAAAAAAATATTTGTAACAAAAAGGACAGGGGACAAAAGGGTACAATTTTAAATAAACAAGTCGCATTTCGCGACACTCGGGAGCGCGAGAAAAACAAAACAAAATAGATGAAAGGATTAAAATTATTTTCTTTGAAACATCCTCTTCATCATTTTAAGTCCCTTCTTCCTGTTCTTTCAAATTCACCACTGGACATCTTTGAGTCGAAGCATCCATTTTGTACAGTCTCTTTGTAGCATAAGTAGCATCCTTCTTTTTGTTTCTCTTTATTCTTTAAGGATATCCTCTTTATCCATTTTTTAAACAATTTAACGCTTTGTTTTAATTTTTTATCTTGTATATCCTTTTCAAATTTTAAATAATCCAACTTTTTAAATTCATCTCTATATTTTACTAAATAATTAAAGGTTTCTCTGAAATATTTCCAATTTAATTTATTTTGCCTATTTACTTTGCAATATAGAATCATTAAAACTCTATTATTTTCAGATTCATGAGTTTGAGAAACTAAATTTTCTTTTAATTATCATTATTTTACAAAAAACAACTAATATTGAAACTATATTAAAAAAATACTTTATCAAATCTTTATTTATTTCTTTACATTTATTAAATCCTTGCGATTTCCTTTGTAATATATTTTTACTCTTTACTTTAGCACAATGCTTCTTTTTTGAAATAATTTCTTTTTTACAAACTAGAAATTCTTCATAATTTCTAGTACGTTGTTTTACTAACGGAATTAGTAATTTCTTAACGGTTTTATCCTTTTCTTCTATGTTTACATTTTGAAAATCTCGGCATAATTTAACATCAGATTTATTTGATATCTCTTCAAAAGTGTGAACAGCTAGATGAGTTTGGACTAGCTTTGACTTTTTCAATTTTCTGTGATTTTCACCACAAAGTACATTTCCAATAGTGGTCTTTATTAAATAACATCCTTTTAAAACCTCTTTTTTCCATTAAAAAATCTCCAAAAGTCTTTTATTCCTATCAACAAGTCTGGTTTTACAAAATTATTAGTTAAATTATGCTTTATCTCATTAATCTTTACATTAGATTTATTCCCATTTATACTAACAGATTGTAATTCATTGGAAATTCTATTAATACTCAATGTCTCAATAATTTCTTGTTTTCCATCTATTCTTTCAATTCCAATTGAATATTTTCCAGTACGTTGTTTCTTTGACTTATTTCCTTGGAACGTAGATATTTCAAGAACACCTTCACCTTGTTTTGTTAAATTTAATTTCTTAGCTAATTCATCAGTAATATAATTAACTTCACTACCAGTATCCAGGAATACAGAAACTTTAATTTTATTGTTTTCATTCTTTGGCGAAAAAACTTTAGTTTTCAAAATCATTAAATTCGGTGACGAATTGTTTAACAACGAAGTACATGTATTTACTGACAAATTCTGCGTTTCCATAACTTCATTTTCAATATTTGGTTCCTCAATTTTTTTACCGACAAATTTACAATCTGAGCCTTTCTTTTTCCAACTTTGGTATTTTCGGTTTTTATAATTTATTTTAAATTTTTGAGGTCCACATGTTAAAAAACACTTTGTCCTTTTATGACATATTGCAGTATTATGAGGTCCTTTACAGTAGAAACAATATTTTTTACTAAAACATTTTCTCGATATATGACCTCTTGCACAACAACTAAAACATCTTCGCTGTTCAAATAAACGCTTCTTGCGTTCCTCCAAACCTGCAACATTTTTACAAGTATTGGACCAATGATTTCCATTACAAAAATAACAAATAATATTTCTCGCGTGTGTAATAACTGGAAAAGTTCTAGCTTGATTCACTTTATCAAATCTTTTAAAATTTTCATTATTTCGAAATTTTTGAATTATTTCATTATGATTGTTCGGATGTGAAAACTGGAAATGTTTTGATGATTGAAAAACTGATTCTCTAATATTAACCATTCCAATTAAAGCTTTTCTTAATTCATTAGTGTCCCATTTTCTGCCAGAAGTCTTTTCTTTTTTAGCAATTTCCATTAAAATATTTCTATTAAGCTTTGACCTTATTAGTGAAGTCATAATCGAATTATTTGTATTTTCTCCAATACTTTCTAATTGTCTAAATATTTTTTCAATTTTATCAACTGAATTTTTCAAAGAAATTGATTTTTCTGTACAAGTAGGTAAGTGAAATAATTCAGATTCTAAAGCTTCTATCAATATATTTTTATCACCAAATCTTTCTTTCAATGTATTTACTGCAATTTGGTAATTTTCATTAGACAACATCAAATCTGATACGACATTTTTTGCTTCTCCTTTTAAACAATTAAGCAAAAATTTCATTTTATCAATTTGACTAAATTTTTGTTTATCAATTGAGCTTTCAAAACTTTGCCAAAAAGAAATCAAAGATGTGGATCTCCATTGAACTCTGGCAACTGAAGTCTAGGTAATTGAACAGTTAATTCCCTTGTTTCAGAATGATTTATCTGTGTTACTATAGAATTATTTTCAGAATCATCAGATTTTCTTTGATAAACAAGTTCTTCAATAGAATCTGCGGTTTCTCTACCTTTTTCTATCCATTCATAAAAATGTTTATTATCTACAATATAATTATCATAAGCTAATGTCTCAGTTTCTCTATCATTTATATCTAAATTGTTTATAAAATCTAGCCAAAGTTTATTCTTTTCTTCAAGCGTATTTAAAATTTTTATAATACTTTTTCCATCACTTGTAATTAATTCTTTTTCTTCATCATCTATTACTTTTTTCTTCATAATTCGTTCTGCATTTTCAATTCGATTTATCAAGCGCCTTAAAACTGTACCAATCATTCTTTTATAAGGTCCTGACATTTTGATCAAATGTTTAACTTTGACTTAAATAGAACAATCAAACAGTTTATCAGAAGGTTTTACAAATGGTTGAACAATTTTTCCTTTCAAATGAGAAACAATTTAGAATTCAATACTTTTTGACGGGGCTCCACTTTGTCGCAAAACAGTTTAAATTTTAATATTTTAATTTTATTTTAATTTTGTTTTGCTGGACAATTTTAAGTTCTATTTTATTCAAGTCCTTTCCTTTTTTATCTTCAATTTAGTCCAGTTTAAAATCAATTTTAAGTTCAAAAGATTTATTCAAAAAAAAGGAATGTTTTGAAATAGAAATATTAAAAGATTGAAAAAGTGAATGTTAAGCCTATGAAATTCACTGATTATAAAGCAAAATTTAGGGCGGGAATTTAAAAAAGATGCGACAAAAAATAGGTGTGGTTTGATTTGATAACAAAAATTCAAAAAATATAGGCGGGATTTGAATTTAAGGGCAAAAAAACCAAAAATATTGGGATGATTCATTTTTAACAAAAAATAAAAAAAAAAT